AGCTTCAGCTCGTGTTAAGGGCCCCCCCCCCTCAGAAACAAACTTTTTTATTTCTCATCCAATTTCAACCAAAATTGCAGATAATATTAGTCTTGGCTAGAATAGCTTATGATTAAAATATCTCCCCCAAATCTCAAAGTAATGCAGAGTTCTAGTCAATTCATTACCTTTTACGCGGGCAAGGTTTTCGATATGAGGGTACTACTTAATCATGTCGGGGTGGTTTTTAAATTGTAGAATACCCTTAGGGCTAGGCCGTCATAGAGCCCGATTTTTGAATTTCCTTTTTTTTTGATCTTTAAAATATTTGAGCGAAAAATTTTCACATTCAGAGCGCTAGTGAAGATCCAATATCCAAGATTTTTATTTCATTGAAAGAGAAATTCAAAAATCGGACTCTATAACGACCTAGCTATACATATCCTCTATTCAACAAAAAAACATTCTCCCTTATCTATTGAGTAGTTACTGAAAAATCCTTGCCCGCGCAAACTCATATTCAAAAAAATTGATTTTGAGAAAAACGAAAAACAAAGTTTTTTGATGCAGTAAGTGTGTTTATTCGAAATAAGCCTGTTTATCTACCTAATATTTTTGCACTATTTCTCAAGCTTTACTCATGGTATGTACGGGGATGTATCATAATGCGTAGGCTTTTGCTAGTCTCACCGAGATCTCCTTGTAGACGAAATATGAACGCAAACTGGGGGTGTCATCATCTCGGAAGGTTTCGTCAGTAGCACATCCTCAGAAAAGAAATCCGCCAGAAAAAACGACTCATGTACATGTTTTGACAAAACAAATGATGCTAGGTTGTAGTTCATTACAAGGGCTATCAGAATATGTATAAATCTCAAAATTGAGTTTTTTTCGAAAAATTGACTTTTCTGAGGGGGGGGGGGCCTTAATTCATTTTGTGGTAAATGAATATTCATTTCATCACCGTCGAAATTAGCGTTATAGGATTTACATTGAGCATAATGTAAACGTAAGGTTTTTTCACCAGGTAATACTCGAGCCTTTAATAATAAATATAATGAATACGATTAAAAAAAATCGTAGAGAACAAATTTACCATATGAGCTTGTATACTCGGCCGATGTAATGTTGGTTGACTATTAGCAAGAGCATAATCATCGGTTCGAAGATGGCGATAAACTCTTTTAGTGGACATTACGGTTGTACTACTAGCATGTTGCTTTTCTCTTGTTAATAAAAGTTTAGCAATAGCAGTTCGTTGAGATAAATTATTTGGTAATAAACGACGAATTGTCCCATCTTCAAGTTCAACAAAATTAGCTCTAGAATAATAAAATAATTATCTTTTCATATTCCTAAAAGATTTCTTATATCTTTTACCCAGGATGAACATCTGGTCCATTAAGAATTAATTGACGTAATTCATGAACATTATGGGGTGTAACTAATTCTGGATAAGTTAATTTTTTTGCAAATATTTCCGGTATTCCAATTTCATATATTGCAATGAATGGATCAGGTGAAATTACGGATCGACCAGCATAATTTACACGTTTACCCATCATATGCATACGAAATAAACCTTCTTTTTTCTCAATAACCTTTTGTATTTTAAAATAAAATTAGTTATAAACTATGGTAAGATTATAAACAAAAAAAAAGACCAAATTCTCTAATATAAATTGTTTTAAAAACAATCAAACATACATGGACGAAATTTTGAAGGTAAAACAGGTAAAACGTCAAAGAAGAACAAACTTATTGGATTATTATGAACATTTGTTAGTGAATGACGTGATGATCGTAATGTAACCAAATAGATTGCAAGAACTTCTTTTTTCATTTGTCCATATTTTTTCTAAATGTTTTAATACATCTAATGGCGTTAAATACATTTGACTGGACATCATTTTCGTTAATATTTCTTCTTCATCATTATTATCCATATTCTTTGTTTGCCTATCGTCAGAAAACAAAACGATTGAAAATAATCAAGCAAACAATAGTCATCAATAGAAATAAGATTTGTCGATTCGAATAGCAATTTTAATACTAGTCTTTATCATGTTCATATTTGGTATTACGTTCTGTAGATTTCAATAGGTTATCGTACTTTTCCTGGAGATTTAAAAAAATTTTAGATAGAACGATTATTTTCTTTTCGGAACATTGAATTTTCAATAAGCGGTCATATTTTCGAAAATGAACTTTTCTTCAACATCCAAGTCTTTGAAACAGGTACACAAATTTTATTTGAAACTTTTCGAAGGCTCTGAGGATCATGTGATTCTATTCCAAGTTTGATTTTCTGTTATGTCAAGTATTCAAAATTCGATATAAAGAGTAACAGCTATATGTGTTTTTAATATGTCGACAATAAAGCAAAAAAAAGAAACAGTAATATATCTTGACTAGACAGCGTCTGTCGTTTACAACACATGAAAAAATAACTCAGTAGTTCTACTTAATTGCATTGCTAAATTGCGAAGTCTGAAACAGATAGAAGGAAAATAACAAATAATGAAATTCATAACAGCGATAGCAAATGGCCGAAGACATTAAATTTCCTATTTATATATACGAAATTCACAATATTTATGTATCTATTCAGGAGAACTAAATGACCTTCTGTTTATTATTTTTATCTAGTGTTTTCTATAGTCTATGAAAATTTTATCTTTATAGGTAATAAATATTTAAATTCACCAATAAAAGGACTATCGAACAAATATTGTGTCATCAGGGTCTAGTAACATCAATTTTCATGATAGATTTTTGAGTAAAATGTAAAATAACTTATTGTTTACTTCAAAAGGATATCTAAAGAATGAAACTTTCCATGGAATATCACAATAACTACTTCGAAGATATGGTCAAGACTGATACATAATATGTTGTCCCTCTAAATATATATATTAACATCGGTAATTAGTTGATCAACCTATATAAAACTGCACATTTATAGAATTGGACAACGTGACGAACATCTGAACTGTACGAAAAATATCAGTTTTTATTTAAAGTAAATTATATAACTGAACCAAAATCAGTTCCTGAAGCTGGAAAATTGCATATTAATGTATTAAGTTATATCTCCTTCTTTTAACATTTCGTTGTTTGAACAAATATTTATTTTACTATAGAAGTCACAGATTTCTGAACGTTCTCAATGCTTCGATTGGTATTACTTATAAGAAATAATTAGTTAAATACTGACCGAACATTTGATATGCGTTCTTGATAAGCTTTGATTTGTTTATTTGAAACTCGTTGAGAATAAAACAGTTTTGAATGTGAATCTGCACGCAGTGTACGTACAGGCAGGGCTGGGCGAGTCCGAGTCATGACTCGGACTCGAGTCGACTCGAGTCACTTTTTTTTTATGACTTGGACTCGACTCGGACTCAAGAATTTGGAGGCTCTGACTCGACTCGAATAGTCGAGTCACACCGAGTCATTAGTTTCAAAATTTTTATAAATGGAATTGAATTGTTTTATTTTGATGAACTGTATAGAAAGAGTGAATTTTCCTAAGATCACATTCTGCTTAATCTTTAATCATCATTTCATTTATTTTCATTATGGGTTTTCTTATTTTTGTAACCTCCCAGAATAAAAAGGCATGCCTTTCACTGATGATGTAAATCGATATCTCTTTTTGGTGGCGTTCCATTACGGGCGTCCTTCTACTATGAATTTTCCTTTCCGAAAGTTCGCTATATTTCTGCTCAACTCTTTATTATTTGCTGTTAGTTTTGTACATTTCAAGCATTAGAATGCGTTTTATTAGTTTATCTTACAATTCTCTATTATAGATGAATGAAAAGAAATAAACAAACGGAATAAGCAACTTCACATAAAAATAAAACCCATGGCTCTCTATTATGTGTAGCGAATCGTACTGTTGGAGGTGATTCTCAATTCCGAGTGACCTTCTTTTATGCAGTACTGACCAAGACTATAGAACCACGGTATTTTTCATTTATTTCCTTGACTGTAAAAGATTAGCTGAAATTTAAATAGTAATTCTGGTAGCTCTAGATATTGTCCATCTATCTCATGTGATTTTCATGAGGGTTTTATCGATGAATCACGATAGGAACTTTTCGGAAAACTAAAACTTATATTATTCGTATCAGATAAGAGCTACTGAAAATTTGCTTTTCATATCGCCATCTTGTAGAGCTTGAAATACTGAGTAAAACGATATGTCGCCATAGTTTCTACAGCATTCTCGTAAAAAGCTATAGCCATCACGAAACTCCGAATTTATCGAAAAATCTCTAAAAATTGACGAAAATACTCGAAAAACGTTTTTCGAGTTTTGTGGTAATTGTAACTTTACAATAGAAAGTCGTATAAAATTTGGCGACATACAGTTTTATTCAGCATCCCAAGCTCTGGGAGATAGCAATGTGAAAAACGGTTTTCTCAACGTCTTATTTGAGACGAAAAATAGAGGTTTCATTTTCCAGAAAACTTTCTGCTGTGTGTGACTCATTGATGAAATCCTCCTGTAAATTACATAAGAGGAAGGACATCAAGTGCTATCAGAATCACTATTTATAATTCAACTAATCTTTTATAATATGTAATAAATGAAAAATACAATAGTTTTAGAATTTTAGCCACTACTGTAGGGTGGCGTTCCATGTTGATGGGACTATTTTTACATGAAAATTCGGAAATAAATATGTGCTGAGGAAAAATTGTTGTAAATATTCTCTATGAAGATCAACAGAAAATTTGAAATACTTTGACTCGACTCGACTCGACTCGGTAATGCCGATGACTCGACTTGACTTGACTCGACAATATTGCAAAAAGACTCGGACTCGACTCGAGTCGAAAAATGGCTTGACTCGCCCAGCCCTGCGTACAGGTGTATTACAATTGGGACAGAATTTTTCTAAATATATATATATATATAAATACGAAAATTTCTCTGATATAAAAATTCAAACTTTTTGTTTTGAATGCTCGTGCTTCAAAATCTTTAATAAGTTGTTGTCGTATAGCTAATAAGTTTTCAGTTGTCGATTCTACTTTAGTTGACGATGGTGGATTTAGTTTCATATGTTCATTGATCTGTTCATAAAATGTATCTAAAGATTTTCTTTCTAATATCCATGTTTTATAAATTGATTGTAAATTATCTATTTCATCTGTTTGACCATGTTTTAAGTAAAGCATTTGCATACTAAATAAATATTTTTCCGCATTTGAACATTGAATTATATGACAATGAAGACAACAACCACGAAGAACCTTGAAAATCACAAAATAGATTAACGAAAATGGATTTATTTTCATTTACATTAACAAGATTTCGAAAGAATACTGGATTGTAAACAGGTAGTACAAGCGATATATGGCCAAGATGACCTGGACAAGCAACAAATCCTTGACCACAAGTAAAACAACGATCATTTTTATCAAATGGTCCTAATGTTAAATCATATGGACCACCGGGTACTGGTGCACCGAGACGATCAATTGCAAGTGATGATGTTAATTCTTTTACACTTAAACGACGAATTTCTTCAGATGTATAATTACTAAATAGAAGACCACTGATTGTAGTATCCGATGAATAATAATTGATTGTATCCATCTTCTTTTTTTGCTTGGAAAAAAATGAAATTAAAATTCACTAGACAAATTTCGGATCGATCTCAAATATGATTCGTTCATTCGAGAGAACCGATTAGAAACGACAAAAAAAAGGTTTATAGATTAAATTAGTAAAATTTAATTTTAACGCAAGAAAGAGTTGAAAATATATCGAAAAACTAAAAGGATAAAAATGTTGATTGTTGCCAAAGAGGACGCCACAAGACGATGACATATATTTCGTAATTTCGCAATCTGAAAAGAATCATTTTCCTTTTTCCTTTCATTCGTAATCTTTTTTCGACTTATATCATTTTAACAAAAATATTTTTTTTTATTCACTTTTGTTAACAATTATATTTGTTTTTGATATTAGAAAACATTCGATCAGATAGTTTTAAAGAGTTACATTTCTAGACAGATATCATTTTTCGCAATGTGCAAGTGTAATTGGTAATGACAGAACTATCTCTTTTGTCAATTGTACTGAGCAACTAGGTCATGCTGCATTAAGTGTAAAATATCCAGTACCTTATAACTCAATATCTGTAAAAATAAATTTGACAAGTATAGGCGATTTCAGATGAAATAAATGCCATATCTGGTAGTTGGAATCATATTATGTCGGATATGCTTTTATAGATCTTAAGATTTCTTGTTTTAAAAGTGATGATTCATTATATATAGTTCAAAAGCTGAGTTATTGTCAATTCTTTTTCACATCTAATCATACTCTTGGTGAAACAATGGAGATCTATTTGCTCCTTATAAAAGTTATTAATCGAACACAATTATTAGATTCTAGCGATTGAATTATTGACTACGGTATATGGATGTCAACATCCATTTATGTATTACTTGATAATCATGTTGTTTATGATCAATGAAGCGCTTTTTTTCGTTATTTATATATACAACATACAATAATCATCTGTCTTGTGAAACACAATTTCATGTCATTAATAAACAAAAATCTATTGATTGCACCGGTGAGGTTCTCTTTCATAATGTACCTTTTTACAACGACTATTATTGACAAATAAGAAAATCTGACAATTCGTTTCAAAACGTATTTATGCAATAAAATGATTCTAGTTAAAGACACTATTTCTTTGTTTGCTAATTCACTATTTTTATTGTAAAATGATAAAAAACCAATATATCCTTGTATGTTGACAAAATATACATATTCAATATACATTTTGTTTGAATATTTGGCATGAAAAGCGATTTATATATACTTGTTATTTACTGACTTTTGATTAGCTGATTTAAAAGAGAAAGTTATAATAGATAATGAGCTGCAATTGTTTTAGAATTGCATTCATGATAGAAAAGATAATTGGAGAATAAAACATCATATAAGGTATGTTTCCAAGAGCATCGAACATTATCAGTGGCGGATCTAGGATTTTTTTTACATGGGGCGATTTTGATCTTAATACGTGTTTTAAAGCTCCTCAGAAGTAGTATAAGCTAATTTTGAAGCCTTTTCCACTAGAAGAAGACAGATTTTTTTATTGTCGACATGGGGCGATCGCCACAAGCGCCCTCCCCCTAAATCCGCTACTGGACATTATATACTAGCTGCATCCAAGTCAAACCTGTTTAAGTTTCGTCTTTTATCCAAAAGCAATTGATATGAATAACGTGAGAATTATTTTCTTATTTGATATATTCTGATTTTAATTATTCTAATACTCAACAAATCTAGAATGCTAAAAGATCGAAAGAAAAAAACAATTTCGTAATGGATTGTCAAAATCAATCAAAAAATGAGTAGTTGTAATCGACGTGATATCTTTGAAGATTGAATGATTTAAGACACATACTTAAATCGTTTGCATTTGAAAGCACCATGTAGGTGTCACTGAAGAAATCACTCCTACTCACTGCATTCACACGCTGAGAGTTGGAGTTGGAGTTGGAGTCGGAATTTTAAAAAAATATTTTTCAGAGTCCGAGTTGAAATCGAAACTAAAAGCGCATGCCTCATCGGGTCTCCAGTGGTCTCAGCCAACTCCTGACGCTGTCACTACTGCAAGTGATGAGCAAAAGTGAAATTAATTATTTCTTGTACTAATATTGATGTAAGTATTTTTCTTAAGGAAACAATCGATCATTAATTTTTAGTATATAAAGCAATGCATATTATCAACAAAAATTTATTTGTAAAATTTAGTATTTAACATCAGAATGAATAATTTTGTTTTTTTTATCCATTTATAACACAAAAAAATGCCAAAAAACCTTTTTATTTTGTACATGAAGGCCCATAGCTTGTATTTAACAAAATATCAGACTGAAAAAAATGTTAACAATTAGCATACATTGACTGGTTTACGCCTAAGTTCCACTTACAACTACTAAATTATACATGATAAGTGATTATTGATAATGATATTGATGAATATAATTTGTTATTTGATAAATTGTAAAGCATTTTGAGGAACCTACAAAAAACCATATTTTTATCGAAATATGAAAGCATAACAGATTAAATCTACTCGATTTTTTCTAGATTAATCATATAAAAGATCAAGTTTCTTCTTCACTTCATCTAATTTTCGTTTCAATAAAGATAAACAAAATCAGATGTTGCTACTGTTATTGTTGAAGTAGGCATAATTGTATGCTGTTGATTGATTTGCTATCGTGCTATGGAATGAGTTATTTGTTTAGGAAGTTTATTAACTAATATAGAAATGAAACATTTGTTGAAGCAAAACCATCTGTAAGGGATACAGGAGACTAAAAATCATTATTAAAATAAATTATTAAAAAGACTAATTTTACTTTAGCTGGATTTATTGTTGATGCTTTCATTAAAAATACTGGTGAGTCAATCCATGCACTAGCCGATTTAGATTCTTGATAGGATAAAAGTGATGAAGCTACGGGTGGTGCTGCACTTGAAGGATCAGTTGATGGTGATACTGCAGTTACACGTTCTAATAAAAATAAAACGAACAATTAGAATTTGTTTAAAAAATTCCTGTAAAAGCAAACCATGAACAAATTGTTAATTGGACATTGTTTGTGTTGATGTAAAGTGTTGAGGGACAGCAGTAATAGCATTATAACCTGGTGATTGATGCGGTGAAGTCGCATGTTGTGTAGGATAACGACTAAAATCAATTGAATTAAAACTAAAATAACTTTTGTTTCATCTTCAAATATTTCCTTCGTTATGATTTAGTTCGTAGTCCTATACTAAGATCATTCCCAGACAGTTGAAAAAACGCTGTTTTATCGTTAAAACGGTATGGAATTGACCAAGGTACCCGTTTATGACAAAAAACGGTTTATCAACGTTTTCAGAAAAAAAACATTTTTTATCGTTTAAAGGTATGTTTTTTCTTGATTTAATATGTAGAAACAGTACTTTCTATTTATTTAACCAATACTTTATCATATCAATGAGTAGCTTTTAATCTTTTCACGAACGAGAAATATATATTTTTAATAGATCCTAATATTTATGTAAATAAACGAAAATTTCTGCATTTAAAAAAAATAAAATTTGCATAGAAGTATTTTGTAAAAATTTCAAGCCTTTTATTTTGGTTTAGGTTCCACAACTTGCAAAAAGTACTTCTATTCGCATATTATTTTGTAAAAATGCTAGAATTTTCTAATATTTAGATAAATATTAAGATCTATTCAAAATTAAGTCTCTCTCTTTCGTAAAAAGATTGAAAGTACTCATTGATTTGATTAAATATAGGCAAAAATGATTACAGGTTTTTTTCTACCAATTATTGTCCTAAATATTCTTTTAGTATTCTTTCAAAGTAGTTTCAATAATGCTGTCGATGGGTTTTGCACAACGTTCGTGTCTCATATCTGATAAATATTCTCCTGAAATTCTTTCGAGTTTCTTAGGCCAGGTTCAAGAATCTAAATACGTATAGTGCTGTGTTCATATTGTATTTGCTTACAATATACTATTCAATACATCAGGACTCCTAGAGTTATTTAAAACTACTTGAGGGTACCCGTATTTCTATATCCTTGAATCTATACGACTACCATTAAGCCTTATATTTATATCTGTACCACTACACCCTCCATAACTTTGTTCTTATTCCTATACGCTTATATCTAAACTCTTATATCTATATTTTACCTATATAGTCCTAGAACTCTGTATCTCTCCCGATATAATCTTATAACTGCAGATTCTAACTCTTAAAGCTTTCTAATACTCATATTCTCATTATTCTTATGTCATTGTCGTTGTATTTTCAATTTTAGACCAAAACGCTACTAGATCAATCTTCTATAAGTTCTTTTTTTTTAATAATAATTGGGATTTTTTTCATGAAACTCAATATTTCTGCGAAACAAATGCATACATATATCTGCATCAGTTTCCTCGATGAGTGCCATCTATCAATTAATTTAGGACATGGTAAAATAGCGATACATTAGTTTTCAAAGCATGTTTTAATTATTATTGTAGAAAAACAATTATTTTGAAAAATTAATGGAAAAACAAATTCTCCATTTCTCTGTTCTTATTCTCCTTAACTTCTATCCTTTGCGAAATAATAATAAATAAACCAATAAATTTAACAATCGATAAATACGAAACCAACCAGCTGCAGTTTTTAAATAAATCATCAAAGAATACAGACGAATAAAAAAGCTCCTGAAGATTAGATTTTCGTTCACTTGTTCTCTGAATTCAGCAAAGCTCTAATTCAAGTGATTCTAGTACAAAGACAGCCGCTGTTCTATAAAAACAAAAGAATATACTACTTCATGTTTATAGCAGTTATTGTTAGAAAAATCCTGACTTTAGATATTGATCATGACTCTTCAAAAGTTGATATTGATTTATAAAACCGTTTAAACTGTCATGTAATATGATAAACGCTTTGATACGAGAGTGAAGCGTTAGAATGAAAAAGAAAAATGTAATGATCACTCTTTTTGCTGTTTATAACGTTTTCTTAGCAAAAAAGTCCAATGTGATCGTTCAAACAGCATATTAAATGTTTCGCTTCTGACTGTGTTAGTTGGATTTTTTGGCTGTAATCAATTAGCAATAGATTATGTTACAAATGATTGCTCAAATTGAGATTGAGGTCAGACGTGTTGTAGAATACCTGAACTTCATTGTGACTACTGCTGCTGCTGTTGTTATTATGAGGGAACATTCATTTTTCAAGATGCACTTCGTGGTTTTGGAATGTCAGTCAGTTGATGTGTTGGTAAACCATAATAAAGATGATCATGTAGAACAAGAAGTTCTGAATAAAAAAAATCTAAGACAGTCTTGTTTTATACAAAATATATAAATTTCCTAAATAAACAAGTGTTGCTCTTGTACAATCTTAATTAACAAATAATTATCCAAATAAAAATAGATACTTACTGATTGATGATCCATCTCTAGATACCGCTTGAATAATTGCATTCTTTTGTTGTTGATGATGGAACTTCATCAAAATATCGTTTTTCTTGTAGATAAAGATTTCGATCATCATAAACTTTAAAAAGAAATTAATTCTAATGTTAAATAATAAATTTATTAATTTTTGATAATTTCTTCTTCTTTTTTATGAATTGAGATGATAATTATTATCTGAAGAAGATATTTTACAATTAACATTAATTTACGAAATACTCTTACTGCTGACCATTTTCTTCATCTTCAATTCTACCATTACGTAAATCAATGTCAGCTGCTGGACAATTTTGATCAGAAATGCCTTCATTACGTTTCTGATAAAATGACCTAATTTGGTGAAGCGCTGCTGTTAAAAAATTTGCGCGCTCTTCTTCTTCTGATGTTAATTCAACACCACGTTCAGCCAGTTCCGTGAGCACCTGTTCTTCGTGTTCGTATTGATTCTTCTAAATTAATTTGTTATTTTTTTATTTTAACCATTATCACTTACATAATTAATTAATACGTGAGTAGGTGCATATTCCAGCAAAACCACAAATCGTCCTTCGGTTTGTGCTCCAATAGAATTCATCTAGAAATAAGAAAACTTAAATAGAATAATTTACTAACAATTAAATCATTTTTTTATGAATAATATTCATATTCAAGATGAATTAATGATGAAATTAACTTGCATGCTTTGTTGTTTTATGTGAAGTGTTATTACGAGACGGACGAATTATTGATTATCGAGTATTAAAAATATTACAATCGATTTCTTTATCATCATCATCAGATTGTTGTTCGACAAATGATTAAACTACAATCATGAAAATCAATTAATAGAAAATTCTATTTTCAATGTCTGATGAATTTTCTGCAAGCTTTTAGTACTCGAAAGTTTTAGTGTATTTGATGATGTTATTATCATTTTGATCAGGTTTTTCATTATTGTTTGAAGATCAATAAGGATGACGACGATTTAATAGGTAAATGATAGTTATATGAATTATCTATATGTTCAGATGGAATAAATTTAGTTACAAATATTTCTCTACCTTTAGGATAGTGCAGACGAGGAAGCAAAATATGAACAACATCATCATAATTCTGGGAAACGTTTTTCATTTCTTTTGGATTGAATCAAAAGAAGAACTGACCTGATTTATCAATGAAACCGTGCTTAATATCAAATTTTTCTTCAAAATAATTTCGAAGAAGTTGTTTATTATATTTATGAAAATGTTGTAAATTTAATCAATTAGTAACAATAAATCGTTCATATATTGATGATGTTAAACGAGGTAATGCGAATTTAACTAATACTTCTTCAATATTTATAACACGAGGTCGAGTAGACATAAATTCTAATGTA